AAAACCTTGCCATGCAAACCCAACACACTAGTACCTGACTCTTTGCAGATCTTACAAAACGCCACAAAATGTAACGTGTAATGTGTCATTACAAAATTGCATGGCACCCTAAAAATTGGAAGTAGCAGTTCCAAAACTGTGGCCTGTTTTGATTTAGCATCAAAGTAAATAATGCAAGCAACATTGTGTTGATGTTATCACTTGTTTCCAAATGTAACTGAATAAAAATTATTTCCTTTTTTTTCTTTTTTCTCCATTTTACTTGATTTTATACTGGCTAGTGCCTTCAATGCAATACCCATAAAACATACTTAGTTGATTTTCATACAACTTGTCTTTTTAATTATAGTGAAAGGTTCTGCTGCTGCTCTACTAGTGGTTGTAATCTAAGTTATATGAGGAAGGGGAAATTAAAATAAGTGGAGGTCTTGCAGATGTCTAAAGAGTGGTACAGGAAGATACAAATTTCCTAATATGTTAAGTTTTCCATTTTTCATCTATCTCCCCAAAAACATTACACAACTTTTTCCATTTGTATTCAAGACTCTTGAATTTATTGTCAAGTTTGAATTAAACTAGTATGTTCTGAAGAGTGATCTTTGGTGCTAATCCAAGATTTGCTATTTGCATCTGGATATCAGTCTTGTTTTCACCCGTTCAGATTTTTGGTACAGGAAGTTATTTCTGTAATGTCTCTACATGGAAGTAGTGTTTTCATTTTGTTACCTGGTTTTCTGAGCTGTGATGAAAAGCAAAAGTAGTTAAAAACTCCATTAATTTAGAAGCTGGCAGTGTCCTCCTATAATCCTTTTAATAATAAGGAGATAATCTAATTCTAGTTTTTCAAGAGTAAGCAAACTAAAAATCGTCATAGTAAATTAAAATATCTTAATTAAACTTGCTGATTGCCATATCAGTAATTCAACATACGCATTTCTTACTGTTTTTAGTTTGTAATGTCACTTGTTGAAAATCTGTTGCCCCTCTTCCTGTCTGATCTGCTTTTCTCCTTATATAAGAATAGTATTAATGTACAAATTAAAAAAAAATCAAGGAATGCACTGCCTTGCTCGCCTATTAGTATTGAGTCCTTTTTAGCATTTGCATGTGAAATTCACATTCAACAAGCTTCAGTCTTTCTGTTTATCTGAGCTGTGTCCATTCTATAAAATTCAGCTGGTGAGTTTTTTAAATAATCACTTTAGTTAAAGCCAACTTGCCCTTGTGTTTGTCCTGTCCTGTATCATGGCAGTTTTATTCTGAGCCTGGTTTTAGTTCTGTTTTATGCTGTTTCACAGTTGCAATGCTTTCTTGCATTATCATCCCACAGTTTCTTGCCTGGCTTTTGGAAGAAGCTGTTTCTAGGAAATTTCCAAAGGCCACAAGGATGTGGCTGCAGCTGGAGGATTAGCTGAACTACTGTAGAACTATTCATGTAACACAAAAACCATTCCATCTGTTAGTGCTGCTAAAAGCAAATCTCTAATTTGAAAAGCTTTTGAAGTATGGTTGGTTGAAGAAGTTCTGTGTGTTAGACGTGTTAAAACTGTACCAAGGAAGCCACGCATCTGAAGAGTTGCCTGTGCACAAACTATTAAGGTGAAGGCAGAGACTAGAATTAATGATCAAAATATGACAACAACAACAACGCAGAAATTTAAATTTAAACTTTTTTTTTTGTATAAGAAGTAATTTACTAGCTGATGTTAGACCTCTGAGTGGGCAGAAGTGATGTTTAGATTAGTGTGATCTTGGTTTGCGCTGTTGTACTCAGTTGTTGCTGTAACTTCTATAGTAATTTCATAATATTTACATCTGTACAGTATTTCTCACTGGAAGTCTCCAACCAATTGCAAATATTAGTTTAGCCCCATAGCCTTGTGAATGAAAGAGGAGACCTTATCCCTGTTTTTTCACATGAAGAATATTTTAAAACAGAGAATGTCTTACATTTTCAGGTGTTTTCCAATAACGAGTACATCAGTAGAGAGCTATGCTTACTAGGTTTGTGACCTCTGGAAGCTTTCAGAAGGTGTGTTTTCTTCTAAGCTGCAAAGAAATTTAGTGGTAGAGTCAGAATCAGAGCTACTGCTTTTAATTGATAGAGTTAACATGTGTCCCCGTCCATGCTGCTTCTGCTGGTGGAGGTTGTAGATCATTCAGGCTTTTGCAGCTGATAATCAGAAATAATTGTTAGTCTGGACATTTAACATCATCACTGATTTGTTTTGTTTTGTTGTTGTTGTTGGACACATTAGATGTTAACCTTTTGGACGAGATTCAGAAAGTTTTTAGGCTCCTATGTTATTTTTAAGTTCCTATCTACCTACTGAACTTAATGAGAGGTAAAAGCCTAACACTTCTTGAATCTAAGCTTTAACAGTATATTTTAATATTTTAGGGTACAGCAACATAATTAAGGCATGTATTTTCTGGTTTTGAACTGCATTTGTATTATATTTACTCAACCTATGTTAAAGAAAAATAAATAAACCTGTTTTTGTTCTTTCAGGAATGCATTAGAGCCTTAGGCCGAAATAAACCTCATACACCCTTCAGAGCAAGTAAACTTACTCAGGTGCTAAGAGATTCATTCATAGGGGAAAACTCCCGTACCTGTATGGTAAGTTGGTTGGTTAACTGTTTGTTCTAACAATTAAAAAGAGAAAAGACACTGAGAATTTAGGCTTTTGTGTTTAAAATTGGTCACTTGTTACTGGCAATATGTTGGACTTAAGTTTATCTACTAACTGACACTATATGTGAAGTGAGACTTTCAGCAGAGACATGTCAGGCAACTTGCTTTGTTCTCACTCTTTATTGGCCTTTCTTACTGCGTGTTGTAGTTTCTAGCTAGGCACCTAGCTAGAAACAGTTCTAGCTTGAGAAGTTTTTTTTTGTTTGTTTGCTTATTTTTAATAATGTCTTAATTATGTCAGAGTATTGTTTATTGACGCAGACTTTTTCCTGAAGTGGTGTAGACTGGAAGTACAGTGGTGAGTTATGATCTTTAAATGAAAAAGACAAATTTAAAATTGGTATCAAAGGCATCAGAATATGCTCTAGGCTGGTGAAGGGGTAAGTAGTTGGGATAGATGGGATGAATAATTGTGTATTGTATAAATGTGCATTTGCATCAGACTAAAACCCAGAAATTTTCTGTCACGCAGTGGAAAGGACAGATAAAAGCATTGATGTCCAGTCATTTTATTTGTGCATCCTTAACATTTCTCCTTATGGAAACTCAAACTCTCAGCAGTGGAGACCGATTGCTAGGCTTGTTTGTGTTGGTTAGTTTTCACTCTGGAATTAATTAGTGTAGAGGCCAGAGAAGTCTGCAGACCACAACATGAAAACCATGATGTTAGAGCAGCCTGCTCTTCCCTTTAGCTCTTAGGTATGGTTCTAGTTTGAAAGAGATGGTAAGAGAGCATTTTTTATTAATCTTTTTTTTCTCCTTCAGTTTTTTGATGAAAAGATAGGACTCTTTTCTTTCCACTGAGATATAACTTCATAAATCCTATTAAGGATCAGAAAGCTAAATTGTGCATCTCTCGTTAGTGTGTCCACACTGCTGAAGATTTGGAAAGTTAGCCTGTTGGAAATTACTCTCTGTACGTAGAATAATTAACATTTGTGAATATTTCATTAAGTTCTCACCATCACTCTTACCTCCTCGAAGTGTTAACAAGCTGTCTTTGTTTCAATGAAGTTTTTTATTTAATTGTTACTCTTCTCATAGAGTTGTCATAACATTTTTTACCATTTAAATGTGTCAGAATGCCATCAGGAATAATGCATGATCTATGGGTGTTCAATTTCTGATAAAGCTTGCATTCCTTTATTTTATATTCAATATAGTTCAAAATTAAGTAAAAAAAATCCCCTCTGAAAGTGAGTGGAAATATGCTTGAAGTATTTTTTTATTTTTTGCATTCACATAACTACAGTCACTTTACAATTGAGAATAAGAAAACCCTTTCATGATGAGATACTGCTTTCAAAGTAATTCTTCCGTTACTTTTCCATGTAGTTTCTCAGTACTGGAACCCATTGTGACGTTCTGGTTTTAGTTTTACATGTAATTTTTATCAAGAATTTGATCAGCAAAGTTTTTTCTAAGATACTGGTGTGGGAAGAAGAACACTTGGGTGGCTGTGGCTAACCTTGATTTATAATTGAAAGGAAGTAGGGAAATAAAATAAACCTACACTGCGTCTTTATGTTTGTTTGAATTGAGCGCTTGCATTTGCAGCACTTGTTCCTGTGATAACTAGATGGATGCAGAATAAAGCTGCCTGTCTAGCTATCTGACTGATTTCTGAACAGCATATATTGATTTGAGTGAGGTGTAAGAGATACCTTAGCCTGGAATTACCTCCATCCTCTCCAGTTCCCTGGAAACAACAGATTAGCACTCCACTTGCCAGGTGGTGGGAATAGTGGATAACAATCAGCAGCTTCACCCCTCTTCTGGGTATTCCTTTGCCTCTTTTATCAAGACAATTTATTCAGCTTTCCATTGTGGTATTTACAGTTGGCTCCTTGGCAGGGTGTGCCTGGTTTGTAAGCATGTTCATGTGCAGGTTTTATATCATACACTGCAAAACTTTACTCATGAAATTTACAGGGAAAGAAAAGGGCAAGTCATTATGGTTTATGATAGCTAAAGTTGAACAGTGTTATATTAAAAAGTACTGAGCCTGCAGGTGTGCTGACTGCTAGTTTGCAGCAGAGCCATGTAATTAACCGTGGTGCTTCAAACTTCTAAAAGTGAGTGCAAAAATAGTTTAATAATTAATAGTTTACTTTCACATTTCTACAGTTGACTGTATAGATCATTGTTATATTCCCTAGAAGTGTCTACTTTATGTAAATTAAAGCGTAGAAGAACTTCTTAGTTATAACTGTCACAAGATGACATGTAGATCATGATAATATTTCCTCCAAAATATTTTAGCCTGTTACAGGCAAAATAAATTAGTGAGTTTGCAACATAGAAATATTATTCAGTTGGAAAATATTCAAATTTGAACATGTAAGATGTAAGGCCTCTTTTAAGATGCTGGTTTTGCTTGTCAGCACATATTTATTGTAAACGGATTCCTCAACAAGACAAAGATTGGATCCAGTGTTCTAAAGTGTTGTTAGAGAGTAAGACATTTTGCAAATATGTGGCGCTTTTCAATATGGAATGCATATAAGATCATGTAGTAAAAACTTGTGATTTTAACTTTGTAAGAGATTCTTGAAAAGTCCTGGTATGAAATACCTCCTTGGGCCATTTGGTTTCTGACATACTAATCTGTAAGTGGGATATATGAGTCAAATTTATTTGCTAATTTCTACACTTCATTTTTATTTGGCTTTTCTTTTTATTGTTTATGAACTTACTGTTGCAATTTTAAAAGTTATCTCTTTAGGGATGGAGCATTCTCTTTTGTATATAAGGTTAAACTATGATTTGGAAACTTTTTTTTCCCTTCAAATTTTAAAAAACTCTTTTGAAAATAACTTCATAATGTGGATAGTTATGACTAGGATCTGTTTAAGTCTAAAGAAATCCAGAAACATACAGTCAGCATAAATAGGTTGTTTTGAACTTTATTAGTTATTGCAGTTTTACTGAAGTCCTTGTCCTTAAATAGTTTCAAAAACCATTTAAAGTTGTTTTAAGAGTTACCTAGTAGGAAGAAGTTCTTTACTGTGAGGGTGGTGAGGCACAGGAACAGGTTGCCCAGAGAGGTTGTGGATGCCCCATCCCTGGAAGTGTTCAAGGCCAGGTTGGATGGGGCTTTGGGCAACCTGGTCTAGTGGAGGGTGTCCCTGCCCATGGCAGGGGGGTTGGAACTAGATGGTCTTTGAGGTCCCTTCCAACCCAAACCATTCTATGATTCTATGATAACGTATCATCACAATTTGAAATTTGCAAGATAGCTACATAGAATAGTCTCATTTTCTAACCAGTGGTGCATCCTTGACTTGCTGCAGTCATAGCTGAAGTGCCCAGACCCCTCAACCCTCTGGGGTGGGAGAGGGAACCCCAGACTTCAGTGTCCGAAAAGGGCCATTGATCCCACTGTGGTGAATTATAAGCAATGTAGACACATTTGAAATAGGAAGAATGGTAACTACGGGCCTTAAAGATATTCCTGTCCATAAATAGTGCAGTTTTTTGCATCCTCATTTTGAATTACGAATAAGGAAGCGAGCAACAGAGAGGTTGGAGTCCTCTTGTCCTGCCTGGACCAGGCTTGTTGAGGCATGAGGACACATGATGTAGCTTGTGTTCAACAGACTGAGTCTTGTACGCGGGTTCCTGTGCCCTGAACAGGGTATCTGCATGGCTATGGCAGCGCTGCCCTCTGGCAGCTGTACCTTACATGCTTCAAAGTGTTGAGTAGTCCCCTGGTGTTAGGGCAGTTGCCCTGTGTGCTATGCTCTGAACATTGAACTGACGGAAGAGATGCACGCAGCTTTCATGTTAAATGAGCAGAAGGATTTTAGGAACTTGTAGTTTTTTGTTGATTACAGCCTAGAACACTTTATGTGTAAAGGCACATGCAATCACATGATTTTTTTTAAAATCTACATTTGTTGTTTTCATTAGTAACTGATGTGTACCATTGTTAGAGGTTTAAACTTAAGTCTGTATGGTAGCAGGCTCTTTAGACTTTCTGACCCCCTCCCACCACATATTTTTCCTTTCTCCCCAGTAGGAGAAATTCCTCTCAGGATGACTACCCGTGATTTTGTACAGTAATGGCAGCAGCAGGATGAAAGAGAAGACCAGGATTATCTAATCTTCATCAGTTTCAGTCTCCTGATGCTGTGCTGCCACAAAAAATGTTAGTGTGTAGGATCATAGAGGTGTTTGTCCTGGGTAGTGCCTTTATGGCTTTCCTGAAAGGGGCACAGATGAAAAAAATTGGACTACTGGGAGAAGCTAGGACAAATAATGATGCCACTGTTGCCTGATCACACTTATTATTTTTGCTGAGTGCTGGAAAGAAGGTGAGATCTTTAGAGTATTTTATTTATCTGGAAAAGGAAAGACCTATAGATTCCAGATACATCTGATAATAAGTTAGCTATCAAGTAATGTTTACAGATAACTTCTAATTGAGAAAAAAAAATATCTTTACTTAGGAAAAAATTTAAACACATCCTTACCATTAATACTATTGAGTACAGTTTTGGACTGTGGCCAAAATAGATCTTTGAAATCTGTATACAGTCTGTTTGAACGGAGAACAGCCTACAAAGATATAAAAAAATAAGAATCTGGTAATTGTTTGCAGGATATATTAGATTTACTTTTTACTGAGTTGTTTATTTGCCTTTTCGAGGAGTCTTTATTTTTTCAGTTAGAATTTTGCATTTAGACGTTATGCTACCAAGACAGTGAGATGAGGGAAGTTGACTGAAATGTCTATGAATTCTTAGTGTTCCAGATATGGTTAAAAAAATTAAATTGAAGCTTTGACTTGACATCTGTCTCCTTGACATGTCATTGTATAAGAACAGCTGTACATGGTAGACAGTTTTTGTAGAAGATCTCAAATGAAACTGGAGATTAAAAGATAAAGTTAATTTGAATTCATCTACTGTTTCATCTGTACAAAGTGATTTATTAACGTGTGGCTTGTTTTCTCCAGATCGCTACAATTTCTCCGGGGATGGCATCATGTGAAAACACTCTAAATACACTGAGATACGCAAACAGGTATGGAAAACATTATTGCTTATAGCTATACTGACTGTTCATCACTGACATTTGGAATACTGTTGTTCCACGATGCAGAATTATTTTAGCTACTTGAATAATTTTATCGTACTTGTGTTTCTTAATAAGATGAAAACCAAATTACTGATCCAGGCTCATATTTAATTTGAATTGTCATTTTTTTGTAACCATTACAATTAGTCAATAGGAACTGCATTTAATCTATTATCCAGATAATATGTGTTGCAAGGAATGTTAGAAATGCCCCTACTAGTTTTCCCCCTGCTCTGGAGGCACCATCTCTTGGATTAGGGTTAGTCTGTATTCATGATGATTCCCTGGGGAATATGAAATATCTTTCTGCAGTGTGGGGTTTTTTTCATCCCTTTGGTTGAATTGCCTGCAGTTGCCATTCTGTTCCATGCATATACATGAAATTTTATACTTCCCAACTTGAGGCAAATATCTGAGACCCCTCAGTAAAGGGTCAGTTAATCCACCAGGGACTTTACAATCAGTGTAGAGAAATTAGCACTTCCAGGGGCTGATGCAGCACCTCTGAGACGTGTACTGCTCTCTGAAAGTGTTCATCTATCTTCTGTGAGTGTGAAAGGAGCCCTCCCCTGCTGCAGTTCTCCTTCGTTAATTGTCTGTGGAGATGTGGTGATCCAGTCCTGCATGTCCCTCCAGTCAGACTGTGACCCAGAGACCCCTCCGTGCTTTGCTGCCAAGAACAAAGGAGGCAAAACAGCGTCTGGGCAATCAGAAACCCTGCCTGGGCCAGGAGAGGCTACCATCTTAGTGGCCTGCTTGCCCCAGTAAAAAGCAGAACCACATCTGCGGCTTGTCTGGGCACCTCTGGCCAGTAGCTAACTGGGCACAAAAGGGCTGCTAGGAAAGCTTACCACCCGCTCCTCTTGGTATCTGAATGTCTGTCTCTGGATCAAGGGAGCTAGTAGCAAATCTGCCTGGCTCGGACCAGTCTGTGTGATTTACTTCCTGGCGAGAAGGAGGCATCTGCTCCCCTGCTTACAGTCACATAACGAAGGACCCTGCACATTGATCAAGATTTACTGGATGTTTTACCCCGTATAGAATATGCATTGCTGAAGTGACTCCAGAAGAAGACACTACAAAACTAATTAAATGCCTGTTTCTAGTATACTAAATAGTTGTGCTGAAATGGTTTCTTCCCCTTAGAGTTAAATCTGTGTGTTGTTTTGGAGTAAATGCCAGTCACTCTAAAGTTGCTTCATGTGTTTTCTGTAGTATTTTAGTTTTTTTCTAGCAATACATCATTTTCATAATACAGTTAGTTTTAGGTGCTGGAAACCAGCGTGTGTGTAGTGTAAGACAGGACAGAAAAGAATTTTGTAGCTGTAGTGGTTTGATATTTTAAAAGGAGCTATTAGTGGAATATTGAATGTAAAGCAAATTTTATTAACTGCATGACTGAAATCTGGAATTATGCTTCTGAAAACACTGCTGTTATAGTCCCCTGCAAATGAGCAGCACTAGTTTTGTTCATTTTCTTAGTGATCTGTAACTCTGTTTACAGAAGATTTAAATATGTTGGCACACTTGTGTTTTAATATAAAAATAATTTTATAGTTAAACTATTACAGAAGTATGCTAAACAAAGAGTTGTCATTTTAACTGTGTTTATGAGAACATTTTCTTTTAATTTGCTGCTGTATTTTGCTGCTGCAGAGTAAAGGAATTTGGAATTAGTCCTTCGGACATTCCCTTCTCACAGGGTAGTGGCAGTCGCTCTGATCTCTCTCCTTCCTATGAGTATGACGACTTTTCTCCTTCAATCACCAGGTCTACTTCATTCTATACGTGGAATCTTTATTTTTAAGTTTTCTCTTTGGCTATGTAACTTTACAGACCAACCTTTCATTAGTCCCCTTGCCTTGAGTCACACATACTTTGTTTTTATTTTGTTTGGCAGGTGATGGTTCTGCATGATCTGCAATCATCTTCCCAGTATTTTGTTCACCCTCCTTAAACATCCACACTCTGTAGCCAGGCTTGCTAGTTTCCTTCATACGTTTTTTTAAAAATGGTGATGTCACCTTTGTACATTTAGTGGACCAAATGTGAGAGGTCTGTGTTTAGGGTAGTTTGAAAATATCTAATTAAAAAAGAAAACAATTTTCATCCATATATATTTTTAAAACTTTTCATCACTCTGAAGATGAATGTGAAAGTTTTCATTGTAATAAATAAGTGCTACTTAAAAAAATGTTTTTCCCCTAAAAAAAAAAAAGACTATGTTTTAAAACTTGCTATACTTGCAGACTTTGATGTGCCTGTTTCATAAACTGGTTTTTAAATGGGCCTTTTTTTTTTGACAGAATAATTATCAATCTTTTAAACTATTTTTCATGCTGCAAGAGCTTACCATTTTAATAAGATTTTTTCACCTTTGAAATTATTTTAATTAAAGGATCTGTTCATTCTCTGAGATACTTGGTTGCAAATTATTATTTTCTTCAGAATTCTTGGTGGATTTGCTTATAACAGCTAGTGGGGTACTGATTTTTTTATTGAGGGTTTGGAGATCTTTGCGCTCTCAACGGTTAATGAGTAATAAGATTTCAATCCGAAAATGCCTCCTGCTAGAAGATGGATTGTAATCCATCTGCAAGTAGTTGAAATTAAATGATCCATGCTTTTTAGGAGTTGGACTAACATCTTTTTGTCACTGAAAGTACACTAAATTTGTGAAGCTGACATCATCATCCTTATTAAATGAATTAATTGCGCATAAACCCATAGAACTTTATTTTTGGTTGTGACTCTTCTGGACAGGAGGTTACTAATTTATAAATGAAACATTTTCTGCTCGTAGGGTGAAGGAGCTGACAGTGGATCCTAGCATTGCGGGAGATATCCGTCCCATTATACACCATCCTCCCAGTCAGATTGAGGACTTGGAGACACAGTGGGGTGTGGGGAGCTCTCCTCAGAGAGATGATCTCAAACTGCTTTGTGAACAAAACGTGAGTGGCTTACAGCAGTACATGGGAAGAGTGGGTGATAAATACGATGGCAGAGCAAATCCAGAGTCATGTGCATTTGTAGCCTGTTAGCAAGATCATTAAGTAAATTGTGATGGTGTGCCCCCCCCCTCCACGTTAAGCCATAAATACCAGTGGGGATCGTGATGGCTGCGTCTGACTTATGCTGGAATTTGGGGACGGATGGCAACACGGTGGCTGAGGGCTGTCTGGAGCAGCGACCCAGATGTCTTGCTGGTGTGCAGATATGACTAAGTTACTTTATAAATAGTGGACAGCCCAGAACCCCTTGAGCTCTACTGCACGGCAGCAGGCTGCGTGCCAGGAGCTCCCCTTGAGTAGGGATGCCACTCAAGGTTGTTCCTCGAGGTTTTGAGGCCGAGATTCCTTGCTGCAACAGATCCTCAGTAAGTGACTAATGGCATGCTAAACTTTGAAATACTAGCTAAGTGATATAAAGGATTGATTGTGCGAATATAGTCCTTTAGACATAAATCATTGATCAAGTGTGGGACTAGGACTGGATCCAGCCACACCTGGGCTCCTCTCTGAGGAGTTTAGAAAGCAAGGGTGTCCTTTCTGAACCTCATGACTCAACAGGAGTTGAGCATTCTTCTAATGTTTTAATCAGCATGTACATTTTACATTTTTCACCTTACATTTATTCCACTTTTTTTTTTTCCCAAAGGATTAATTTAATTTTTATTTCCTGAAATGTATTGAATGTAATTGCTGTTTCCCCCCCCCTTTTTTTTTAAAATGGTTGTCTATTGTGATATCCACAACAAAAAGCTCTGACAGAAAACCAGAGTTTTCTGTAGGCATTAAAACCTACTAGCATCCTTCCCTTGTGACTTCCTCTTCATAGTATTTTTTTAATGGGAAATACTCTGTTTTCCTATATTCAGGAGTAGTGGCTGGACATTTTTAGTCAATATGCATTAAATTTAACTCTGTGAACATTTTTAATTTATTGCCCTCTCCATTCATTTCTGGAGATTTTCTTGTTAGAACTATTAAATTCTATTTTTGACAGATTCTGCCTTCTGCATATTTCTTTTTATGTTCTGTGATGAGATGGATCACAATATATTTCCTGTAGCCATGGTTCTTTCCAGACTAACAAGCCTAACTGTTGTTTTCAGGAAGAGGAAGTTTCTCCGCAGTTGTTTACTTTCCATGAAGCTGTGTCACAGATGGTAGAAATGGAAGAGCAAGTAGTTGAAGACCACAGGGCTGTCTTCCAGGTAAAAAATAGAGTTCTACTTTGTTTTGTCCTGATCCAGGATTTCAGGTTTTCCCAATGAAAGTGCATACTGTTGAAGATGCAGGTTATGATCTGGTCATTCCGCTGCTGTCAGAGATTTCTAAATTGATTTATTATGCTAAGCCCATTGTAGTAAACAAACAGGGACAGATCCCATAACCATTAATCTTTGTCCTCATGTTGAAAGAGAAGCGTATTTCCATATCATCCCAGAAATATGGTAAAATTTTCACTTTCTTTGCAACAAACATTCCTAAATAGATTGTATTCATCATAAGAAAAGTTGTTGTTTTCTTTTTACTATTTTTGCTATTCACTATATTTTCTGTTGTAGTCCTTTTCCAGCATTAGTGAACGTGGGTTTTTTACACTAATTGCAGGGACTTTATTCAGATTGCTCTTGAAATTTTTAATTTCACTGTCTAATCTATGCCAGTATTCCTATCCCAGAGCTAGCAGTTAATAGTAATGCCTCTACCAGCACCACTTCTGTGTGGTCATCTCCCTCCAAGATACTGCAGTACTCCCTCCAGCTATCTCATTTGAGTATCCTTTTGTGACATCTCTCTCTGAGATACTGAGATGCAGAAGAGATACATACATGTCTAACTGCCTGTTTGCCTCCTTTTTATGGACACACAAAGGTTTTCACTTGCTATTAGTCAGGGTCTTTGGAAGGAATACTGCCTACACAATGTAATGCTGATCAGTGCCACGGAGCGTTTTACATTCACAAAATAAATAAACTTATTACTACAAGTATGAGTAACTAGTTTTCAGAAGGAAATGTGTTCATTATCTTCTGTTCATAACCTTAGAGTCTTTAGGCAGGCTGTCCATTTGTCACGACTGCTGCAAAAGAACAGCAGCGCATTAAACCTGTAGGGAATACACCCATCTCCTCAATTTAGGTATCTAACTTAGTGGAACATTGATGTGTGTTCATAATACAGTAGGATGCTAAATAACACATTTTACAACAGATGTAGAGATTTAGTTATTATGAAACATTAGCCCTGAAGTAAAACATGCGTAAGCGTGAAAGTCATACACCCCATATGCTGTAGCTGTGTCTTAACGCTTGCGACTTATGGAGAGCCAAGCTGCATTAATTTAAGATGTTACTGCCTCTGTGTGTCCTTCTGGCCTTCTCCTGGAGATGACTGCTTCTCCCAGCAGTCGCTGGAAGGAAACGTGTCTGAGCCTTGGCTCCCTTCATTTGCAGCATGGCTTGGTTGCACTGTGGGTGGAGGTGAGCTGTACCAATACAAAGTCTACCAGCTGAAGTCGGCAGAAGTTGTATTCTGTCAGCTTTCTTCTGGAAGCTGCTAATACAAAACGTCCTTTCGTAACAAAAATGTCTAAAATATATCAATGAATGATCAACAGAATGAAGCGTGCTCTTGAGGTGTTGGTCTTCCTTGGTGTCTTGGATGTATGAGTTTACATCAGATGAGATCAGTTCTGTCCCAATGTGAGCTCCATCTGTCCTGAAAGCCAAAAACATATATGGGGTTTGAACTACGTTTTCAATATTACTTGGGCTACTGAGCACAGGGGAAAAGACTTAATTTTAATATTTCAGGCCCAGCATGCCTAGAACTGTCAGCTGCTTTCTTTTTTTTTTTTTTTTTTTGAATCAAAGCATTTTCAATGGATCAGTTCTCCTGAGCACAGCTTTGCATGGTTCTGTAAGCTTTAAGCTCCTGGTTGCATTCTTTGCTGCAGGACTTTTCTTTTTTTCCTCTTTTTTTTTGTAGTATTTGGAATGCAAAGACACCTAAGAGCTGCTTTAACAAGTCTTTACAGTACTCTTATCTATCTGGGGAGTTAGTTCATGCAATAGTGAGCTTAAAATAGCTCTTCTTTCAGGCAGCTTCTCTCAAAACTGGTTTTGATTATGGACAGAATTATCTTGGCTCCTTGACTGTAGTAATGACACTACGATTATAGTGACTGGGAACCGGCCCATACTTAAAATTGAAACCTGACTTTAGAGTTTGATACCTGCCTATGAGGACATAACCATGACACAAAGTTCTGTTCTCTGAGTTCCTTAGCTTTACAATCACCTAACGTTCTGAATTTGAAGACTACTGGGGTAGCTGGGGGTTATTGGTTGCTGCTATGACCAGTGGAATTAAGAAACAATGTAGAAAACATACAATTTTGCTGAATTAGGAATAAGGTTTCATTTGGGGATTGAAATCTATTATATTGAGGTAACTAGACAGGAAGAATGTGGTCATCTTGAGAAAAGGTCTACTTCAGCTCTTTGTCTTGAAACTTGTCTTGAAACTTTGCTAATGTATTTAGTTGGGGTTTTTTTTAACTTTTTTCTAGGAATCTATTAGATGGCTGGAAGATGAAAAAGCTCTTCTTGAGATGACAGAAGAAGTAGACTATGATGTGGATTCTTATGCTACTCAACTTGAAGCAATTCTAGAGCAAAAAATTGATATTCTGACTGAACTTAGAGGTAGATTCTTTTAATCACTTGTGTGTGAATTATTAGCAGTGTGTTTTCATATGCCACAGAGACTTGCAGTAATAATGAGGAGATAAAAAAGAGTGTGGTTATGTTTAGGATCTTTTTTCCCCTTATGCTGCCCTGCAATGTCCCGTGGAAGGTATATTTATTCTGCTGCCTAAGAGCAAGTTCAGATACGTGCTCAATTCATCCTAGTTTAAAGGAAAAATCTCTGCTTTATAAACTCAATCCTGAAACTTATCTTTTCTTTTCCTTTGTTCCAAAACAACAGAGGGAGGAAAAAGAAAATCCAGATAAACTGTACGAGAAAAGAAGATAACACAATGAGGGAAAAGTAGTAGGAACTCTCAGTTCCTGCTCTTTTGCATTCTGTAGTGTAGCAGGGAGCCTGCTGTCATTATCAAGACTGTGCTTAAGAGTGGTGAGCTCTGAGTAGCTTGGTCGTTAGCTTACTTTTTTCTTCAGCAGCCTTTCTGTCTGAATTTTGTCAGCCTCTCTTTGTGTCCAAAATTGCCTCTTGCACTTCTCTTCTAAAATCAGCTTGTCAGCTTGGTACCTCATGGAGATGATTTTTTTTTATTTTAGTGCTCTGTAACTATTTAGACTACAGGAGACATGCTATACTGGTAAAAATTCAAGTGTGAGGTTGAGGGCTGAGGGGTGGGGGTGGGGTATTTTTTCTTTTATTCCTGTGTGGTGGGTTGACCCTGGCTGGAGGCCAGGTACCCCCCAAAGCCGCTCTGTCACTGCCCTCCTCAGCTGGGCAGGGGAGAGAAAACAGAACAAAAGGCTCCTGGGTCAAGGTAAGGGCAGGGAGAGATCACTCACCAGTTACTGTCATGGGCAAAACAGGCTCAACTCAGGAAAATTAACTTAATTTATTACCAATCAAA